GCCTATTGTTATTATTGAAGAAATATAATATTGCAGCAAAAGTGGAAAAAATACCTTGCTGATGCTGAAAGAAATGAGGTGGATGATCAACCAAAAGGACTGGTGAGTAGTTGTTTGCTTAAAGCTGTCTTTTCACCTTTAGTTATAATGGACATAACATTTCTCCAACGTCCAGCTACACTGGAAGCAATCTCCCAAAGAAAACTGGAGTTTTAAGGGCAAAAAACATAACCGAATAAAGCAAGATGACAACTCTCTTAAACAACAAAATCGAAATGGTGGCATGCTTGACCAATCAGCTCAAATTGTTGAACTTGAGCCAAATGGAAAACTGGAAGATGCACATGAACAGCTGGGTGAAAATAATGGTAGTGAACAAGAACAATTAAAACAAAATTGTGATGCTTCGAAGCTATCAAACCCTGACAGTGATGAGGAGGATGAAGTTGTTCCCATTGTAATAAGGCCAGGACATATCCGATTTGAGCCCTTGGAGAAAGGTCATTCTCTGCTTTACTATATATGTCTGAGATTGTGATGCTTTTAGTTCATTCTGAATGATAGATTCAATCAGATGAATGAAAGGGATTCGGTTTACCAAAAGAAAAATCCTTTTCGTTTGAGGTCAACAAATAACATTGCCCATCTCTTCTTGTTTAACGAGACTGACTTTGTTTCATGTTTTCTTCTCTTGTTTGTTGCTAAACATCTCATTGTATAATCAGACAGTGAATCGAATTTTCATTGTTTTTCAAAACCAAGCTTCACAATGCATGTCTGGATGAAGGAGATGTATATCTTTTTTGCCGTCTCAATGAAAGCAATTATAAATATCTAGTTAATCTTAAAATGATTTTCAAACAATGTTTTCCTTTGATGACAACATGTTTACTCTATCTATAGTTGGATTATGAAGTGACCTTTGTGACTCTTGGATTTGCGTGATTCCACCATGTGATATTAAATAAATCTCACATTTTTGCTACTTTGCCAGATGCAGACCAAGCTGTCGAGCAAGCCCAAGTACCTCCAGTAAGTCTCATCGTTTGCATTTATATTCCTTTGCCCCCTTCTTTAATTGGGAAAGTTTTAAGGAATATATTTGCCTGAGCACTTGCACCTGATGTCCCTATTTTGGTTTCCTTTAGGGCTGCATTCTTAAGATGGGTATATAATAGGATGCCAGCCAACAGGAAAATTGTTTTTTGTGACTACTTTAGGCTGATAATTGAGCTGTTTTAAAAGTGAAATATTTAGGATAACTATTCTTCCACTAGGAAAGTAGTTCAGTGTGTCCAGGATGAGTTGTATAAGAATTATTTTACTTTCTGGTCATACTTTAGCATTGAACATGAATAATTTTGATATTAGTACACACATTCTATTTCCACTAATTGAACATAAATACTGTCATTTATTATAATGAAGAAATTATGGTAACTAATGAATTATTTCTCAATATTTACTTTTTCATCAATATAAATGAATGTTATTTATTATGTTAACTGGATCAGTATATATGTCAAGAAATAAAGACTAATTATATGTTAAAGATAGACAAAAATTTTCCTGCCTAAAATTGTGCCAATTTAGAGCATCTCCAATGCATGAAATGTTGTTATCACAAAATTTTTGACAAATGTCAATTATTTAGATGGATTGTGAACCACATAAGATACTTGTTAAGCTCACAACTTTAAATCTAAAAAATTATCTACAATGCACAATGTGATCAAACATAATATTGTCCACTTGGCAAAAATAAATAACTTATAAATAAGAAACAACAAAAATTAAACAACTAGATATTTTGAAAATGGTAATAATATTTCTCTCTCATCTCTCAATTGGTTGATTAGAATGTGAAAGAGAATGTGGATGAGCCACATTCTTCTCTACATTGTGGACATTAATTATGTCCACCTCATCACTACATTTGTGATTACATTGTGCATTTTAGGATTAAAAGTGGAGACATTGCTCAATTTGTTAATATAAAGTGTAATTTACTACAACTACATTTTACCATTGGAGATGCTCTTAGTAATATTAGTTGGTCCATTGTTTACATATATATGGATTTTTCATTGAAATTTTCTTCCCTTGTTTTGCAAATTATGAATCTTTGGGCATTATTCTCTCAGGTAACTGTCCAATGGAATGGAATTACTAGCAAGAAGAAGGGTCAACAATGGGGGAAGGAAAAACGTTCATTCAATCCACGAAATGACTACAAAAGTTTGAACAAAGAGGACATGGAAATAGTAAATAATGAGAAGGAGAAACAACCAGATATAGGGGTGGACTTTGATAAGCTTCCACCTCTCACTTGCATGCCTAAGGTATTTGTTCTTTTCTGTCATCATAAACATATATAATTTGCTTGACGAGTCACTAAAGTTTCACTATATCATGAATTCACAACAAAGTACAACATTTAAAGCTTCTATCATATGTACGTACTTTTTTCAACATTTTTAGGAAGGAGATCTGATTGCATATCGTCTTGTGGAATTATCATCAACCTGGACTCCTGAGATTTCTGGCTTTCGGGTATATGTTAATTTTTCGTGTGATATGAATTCAATCAATATAACATTTTTATTGGATAATGAAAGGTCTCGTTATACTTGTTTTCACTAAGGTTGGAAGAGTATCCTGGTGTAATATTGGGTCCAATCAACTAATGTTGGTGCCAGAGCCTGACTACCCAATTGTTTCCCAGAAAGCTGATGATGAAGATGAACAATTACACAATTCCATTTATAATGAAGATGGTTCATTGGAGGTAAGCTGTGTAAATGGATCATTTTTCCATCTTCTTTTGCCCATATTCCCCTTAAAAATTTGTAATTCCATCATAGATGTACTTATATTAAAGGTTTAATTTGCAATAGAGTAACAAATATCAAGGGGGTATTGTAATTTGGAAANTTGGGCTAAAACCTCAATGTGTATACTATAATTGTCATTTATCTTCTTATACAATATGATTATATCTGGATGGGAAAGTGGACTAACTCTACTGCTTGCATGATTCTGCCATCTTTTCCAGATTATACAGTATATGATTATATCTGGATGTGAAAATGAACTAACTACTGCTTACATGACCATATTTGCCATCTTTTGCAGATTGATTTTGCATCTCTTCTTGATGCTAGAATCTTTAAAAATGGGAGTTCAGTAACAGCCAATAAAACCCTTTGTCAACTGAATGAAGGTTCTTTAGGCATTGAACACACTGCAAAAGCAGTGTCCCCTAGCAGCAATGATAAGAACCCAGCCGAACCCAGCCCAGGTATATACATAATGTTTGATGCAGAATGTAAAGACCTCATTTTCTCTCAAGATTACCATTATCATATTGTCTGTTTGGCTGAAAGCTGCAAATAAAACCCTCTGTAAGGAATATTTACTAAGAAAATGCAAACCTCAGTGAGCTGTTCATAGTTTTGGAATATAATTTTCTGTTTTTAATTTATTACTTCAAAGTGGAACCTCAACACTTGTTTTTGTTATTATTTCTTACCAACACCTGACTCTAGGCAAATAAATGTATTAAACCCTTACCATGATAAAATACCAATTTTAGGTGCAATAGAATTCAGCCAGGTTGACAACCACACAACTAATTAATCGTAAGTTAATTCCTTTTCATATTGACTTGAGGTTAAATTAACCTTTTTTTTTTTGGGTAGAAAATGGTGGGGTTGACATATGGGAACAACTCGGTCAAGCTCTGAGTGCCAAGAAAGAACAACTGTCAAGCGAAAACAGGTGGAGCAAGACTCCTAAAAAAGTTCAGCCACCTCCTGAAAACGGTTGGGGTACAAATGCCAAAAAGGTACAAGTATCATCACCCAGAAGTGGTAGCTGGGGGAAGAAAGCGCGCAAGGTACAATCCTCACAGGACAACAATGCTTTAGGTAAGCGGAATTCTTCAGGAGGAAAACCTTGGTCATACAAAGGTCTGAGAGGCGGTGGGCTCGGTGCAACAATGGCTATTCTGAGGTCTAAACAAGATGTATGAGGTTAAACTCATTGAATTTATGTGAGAATCTGATCTGTTTTGACCTGTGTGTCGAAGAAAATCAATGTGTTTGTTTTGTTTCTTTGTTGTCTTCCCGTGTGTAACGTATCAACTAGTACACCTTTAAGCTTGCTATAATGACAAGATTTTTGTGAGACGTGGAAGCTGATGTGGTTTTCTCACTCCAAACAATTTGAGAAGTTCTTCTATATTATTTTCTGTGGAGCCCATATGATGAAGCCGCGTTTTGATTTGCAAGGCTCTCTGTACTTAATTGCCAAGTACAAAAATTAGAGATTAAAAACATAATGTAGCACTATATAAGTATATATGTCACAATCCAACTTCTGAACAAAACGAGACAGGGAGAGGTTGACATTTTTCACTCTTTTTGATCCTTTTGTTATTATTTATATAGTGATATTAATATTTTTGTAATGAGATTACCGTCTGTGAGACGCTTTATTCTCCCCTAATTGCCTAAACAGCAAACCCTTCTCCAATTCTTCCTTGTCGTGCCTCCTCTCTGGTGGATACTATCACCCCTTGATGTCGATTGAAATCTAGTTTGTCTTGGGCCCGGCGGCGTTGCTCTTGTAGGCTATTGGTCCCTCTCTCTGTGTGGATTTTGACTTTTTTGATTTGCCATGGCGATGCTTGAGGTTCGAAAGCTCCATTGCTTTTGGTCTGGCGGATGCTTTGGCGGCCTTGCGCCGGTCTGAGCCTTGGTTTTCCCATTTTCCAACTTTCCCTAGTGTTGGGAACGTCGGTTCCTCCGGCAGTGGTGGTGTTGCGGCTCCGATGTACGCGTGCAGGGTGGGGTGGGGGTGTTATGGAGCAGACCTGCCCAAGGTTGAAATTGTGGTGTACNGCACCTACTTGAAGTACAACACCAAAGAGAAGAGAAGCAAACTTAGTTGGGTCATTCGAACATCGGGTACTACTCGTACATGCTTCTTACATACCTGACAATATGCACCCATTAAAATTATGACATGTGTTCTCTTCCTTCCTTAAATAATTATTTTCATAAAGAAACTTATTTATCAAACTACTAAATTACACATAAAAATTAATGGGTAAATTTTTATATGGCACCCCAACTTTGTTTTATTTTTACATTCGACACCCAAAATTTTCACTTGATCAGTTCTTCTACCACCAGAGAAATGTCATAAAATTAAGACAAAAATAAGAAAATATTTGCATAAAATATCATTTCGTACTGAAGGCTCATATGAGCTAAAAACTTCAAATTGATTAATACTTATTGTTTTTCGTAAAAGATGAACAAAATGAGAGTTCGTCCATCAAATTTAGACAACCAAGTCGCCGGAAATCATCAGTTGTGGTATACGTCCCGTAGCCGCGCACTGCCAGAAATCTAGAAACTTCACTTGCGTTCTTCTGAATAATTGAAGTTCCAATCGACGATCGAGAGATACCGTTGGATTCCTTACGAAAAGAGCTTTTAGTACATATAAGTTTTATAAATATCTAACAATTGTATCTCCGGTGACATCTAAAACAATTTACTGCATAATTTTAAATTTTTTCGAAATAACAATTCACAAAGTTTAATGTCTCATATGATGAAATTAAACATGTCGTTCGATAGATCGAGTCGAGAGCTTCAAAATGACATATGATTTGTTAAAATTCACTAATGGTAGACGAACAATGGGTAAAGGTGGTGGCCGGCAGCGCGGGGCGGCGAGATGGTCGAATATTCAACTTCGGTACGTTTTCAGTTTACTTACCCTATTTCTTAGTTATTTTAATTATATAGATGAGTTAGAAAATAAGTACTGGTGTGTAAAGGACCCAATCCGTTCGCACGACCTTATCTGCTTCTTGACCTGTTCGTATACATGCAAAATGGGTCAGAAGGAGTTCCTAGTGTTAGAACTCCGACAATCAAGTCAGTCTACATTGAAGAAGACGATGAACAGTAGATATAAAGCTATATAAGTATAATAGAGTATGTAGAGTGAAAATAGACATACATCACCCCTTTATGTAGGGGTATTACCTTATTGCCCAAGACTGCCTGAGTTGTCGGTTCGTACTGTCCAATTCTGTTATGCCACGTGGCCCAATCCATGTGTAGTGCTAATCCTGATTAAATTCTTTCTAATCGACTAGTCTTCTTTGTTAGACGGTCTAATCTTGAGACCGACCCCATTTCTCATGAGATAGATCGTCTTCCCAGCTAGGCTCTTGTGCTCTGCTTCCTGGTTGATCTATTGTTTTGTATGTTTTTGTTGTTGTTTTATGTGTTTTTAAGTGTTTGTTTTATTTTATTTTAGGTTTTTCTCGGTCCATTTAGTCGTTTTTGCTCGTTGTGTTTTATTGTCGTTTTGGTGTCTTGTGCTTTTTATTTCTCTTTTTGTATTTTATTTTGTAGGAAAATGCACTCCGGAGACACACTTGACACCGCTGGAAAACTCACCGAAAAAGTGCTGAAAAACTCACCAGGGAGTTCCCGGCCGGTCGGCCTAATGGACCCAGGTCCCGCCGCAGCCCGTGCACACCTAGGCCTTGCCCGCAAGCACAACCCGCGCGAGACACAATACCGAGAGACCCGTGCCTGCCAAGGAACCCACTGTCGAGAGATCCGTGCCCGCCGCCCAGCCTAGGTCGCCATCCAACGAGTGTCGCATCGCCCGCAAGACCCATCCGCCTAGCGACCTAGGTCACCAGCCTGCGAGTGCGACATCGCCCATACCTGACTCGTTCGCCCAACGGCCTAAGTCGCCAGCCAGTGAGTGTCGCATCGCCTGTACCAGACCCATCCGCCCAACGACCTAGGTCGCTAGCCAGTGAGTGCCAGCGGTGTAACGCCCCGTTTATTTAATAAAAGCATAGCATTCTTGCATTTCATTAATAGCTCAACTTTGTGTTTAATCTTGGTTTTTAATTCAAATCCTTTTAATCCGAAAATGAAATTAAATAGATATCATCGTCTATTATTTTTTGCCCAATCAAAATAAATATTAAGTAGATGTCCTCGTCTACTTAATTTTTCCCTAATTTTGCTAACCCTTTAATTTTTCTTAAGTATAGTTAAGTCTTAAGCATGCCTAAGTTTTCAAAAATTTTCCTAAGTGTAAGTACTAAGCTCGGCCACCTTAATAAATTTCGTTGCCCAAGTGTTTTTGAGCCTAAGTCCTAAAATATGCCTAAAATTTTTCCTAAGCCTAAGTATTTTAAGTGTTCTTGGCCATTTCTATTTCTTAAGGGAAGGATTCATGAGTTTAAAATTTTCAACTCCTTCACAAGCTTTAAACCCGATCTCTCCCTCTCCCCCCCTCCCCTTCCACCCCACCCCCTAAATCTCGAACCTCTAACAACTACCAGCTCTCTCACCACCACAACCAGCCGCCACCAATACAAAAAAAAAGAGCCCTAACTCAACAACCTCCCCAATACTCGGGCACCACATCTCAACGGCCTCTTCCACCTCATAGACCTTACATATTTAAACCCCCCTCCCCCTCAAAGATACTAGCCACCACTTTACAGTCCTCATCATCTCAACAAGAATATATTCTAAGTCCCCTTAGCAAAAATTCCCAGCAAACTCCTTTCACGACAACAAGTTCCCGGCGAGGACCGAGAGCCACCCTAGGAACCGCGTAACGCCAGAAGCTGTGAGGAAGCATCCAAGCGTCAGCAAGGAGACTGCGTGCAACCCGAGCCATTTTCCGAGCAACCAACATCGTTTAGTTGACCTAAGAGCGAGCATAACCCATCCAAAAGCCGAGCCATTTCAGCGCAAGCAACCTAGACCCGAGAGCTGAGAAACCGAGATATCAAAAGCGAGCCTTAGCCTTCATCTCTTTTTCCCGAGAAAGGTACTTTCATAAGAGCCCCTTTACCCCTCTTGTTGGTCGCGTTTTTGTGGTGCTTTCAGTTTTGAAAAAGATAAGAAGCATGCTTAGGAATTAGTATGTTTAGGAGTTAAAGGGATGCATGTTGTGTTATTTTTGGCCTTCCAACATATTCGTGCACGCTTGTGCGTCCCAACAGCCTTGTGCCATGCGCGCCCGTGCGCCAGAGACCTGCAGCAGCCCCGACTAGGCCAACAGCACGCCCAACAGACCAGACCTAGGCCTCAGCAGGCCTGCACAGAGCTGGGCAGTCGCAACACCCGATCGACCCGAGCGGTCTAGCGAGCCGAACTGGGTCTGACCATGCACGGACCGGCCAATTCATACTAGTTGAAAGTTAGAATTTTTCGAACCTTAGAATTTATGCGAGAATTCTAGACGAGCCTAGAAAAGTCGAGAGAGAGTTAGAAGAGTTATTAGTTTTTGTTTGTCTTAATTGCTTGGTTTAATTATCAAGTTAATAAAAAACTAATTCTTCAATAATTTTTCTAAGTTAAATAAATTATTAATTTGTAGATTAAGAGGAGTCGAGCCGTCACAAAGAATCACGTGCATTTCATTCATCATCATCAACTGTAGCAGTTAAGGTGGGGTGTTTCTATACTATGTCTTATTCTTTATAAACGCGAGATATTCTGTTTTATGTATGTGATGTGTTACATGTCGCCTGCGATGGGCGATGTGAGTGTTTGGCCTGTGAAGGGCAAAACAGTTACATGTTGCCTGTGATGGGTGATGTGAGTGCTCAACCTGTGAAGAGGAAATCAGTTATATTTCGTGAAGGGCGATACCTGTGAAGGGCAATTAGACGTATTACGCCTACGAAGGGCGATGCCTGTGAAGGGCAACCAGATGAGACTAGTCTTACATATTTCATGCTTAAAATATGGTATTTATGTTTATACTGAATAATCGTATAGTATGGATCCCACGGTGAGCTAATTGTTTTGTTCACTCCCCATAATTATCATTTTCAAGTTGATCGAGCTGGCGGTGGACGAATTGGCGAGAAGATGTTTCGTTCTATTTTCGTCATGTTTTTCTTGTTTATTTTATGTTCATTTTTCCTCCTTAGGTATTTTTCTTTGGTTCTTGGTCCATTTTGAGTCGTTTCGTGCATTTCCCCTATTTTATTCGTTTTTCGTCTTTTTGTTCGTTTTTCCTGGTTTTCCGTATTTTTCTTGTCGATGGTGATGTGCAGGATAGGTAGCGCGGTGCGTAGCCATGCGAGGATTACTATCTAGATGGATGAGTTGGGGTCGAATTGGAAAAGACGAGATTAAATTTCGAGTCCGGATGCGAGAACACGAACCCGAGAACATTTTGCTGTGCAGAAAATCCTTCACCGCGGCCCGCGACTGTCTCCTAGCGGCCGCGGTGAACAAAACCAACCGACGCCCAGTTTTAGTCGTCGCGGCCGCTAGGGTCCCAAAGTCCCACTTCTGTCCAGAGAATGCTGCGGCCTCGGGGATGGCCGCGGAGGTCGCGACGTGCAGAAATTTATGCACGGATTTCAGATTCGTTTTTTTCATTATGTTCTTTCTAGGTTTTAGATTTCTCTCGTACTTTGAATTCCAGAACATATATTTCTCTTAGTTTTTGGTAGGAATTCATCTTTGAGAGTGAAAAACTCCAAATTGTTATTTTCGGATTCGTTTTGCACTCGGATTTTGACGTTGAACCTTCGTATTAATCGTAAGCTTCTATTTTCGTTTCATTCATGAATGTCATGGCTTGGTTTGATATGAATGTTTTTGTTGAGATTACTATGAGTAGCTAAATTCTCTAGCTAGGGTTAGGGGATTGTCGTTCTGGTTCGATCTCGTTTACATGCTTGATAATTGCTCAATCTTTTCGAGTTGTGCTTAACATAGGGTTTTAGATGCTTGATCACCATCTTAATCTAATTAATTGATTTTAAAACCGAAAGGGGAGAAATCGATCGATCTAGGGTTGTTAGAATAGGCTTGTTCGGTGACGTATTGTCTATGTGCTAATTGACTCGATAATTGTTCGTTTATGTTTATTCTCTTGTTTCGTGAGATATTGAGAATGAATCTCTAGATGAGTTAGTTTTTTGAGACCTTTAGCCGAGTAATTGATTGCCCGTTAAATGTTTTGAGAACCGAAAGCAATTATCCCAGATACCCTACCATCCTCTGTTACTATTTGAATTCGTGTTCGGAGTTGTGAGATTTGAATAGCTAGGATTAGCTTTATAATTCGTAGTTGATAAATCAAACCAAATCAATTTGATTAGAGTGTTAGGATTATTTTCTCTTTTGTGATTGAATATTCGTGCAATTTAATCCGGCTAACCTTCCTTGCGATACGACCCAGTGTTCGAATCTTTTGATTCTACTCCGGTAAAAAAATAAATTACTACAACAAAATGGCTCCGTTGCCGGGGAAGGTTGAGGACTTTAATTGTGCGCCTATTCGTTTTTTCTGTGTTTCTCTTTGTTTCTTTGTTAGTTAGTAGCTCTTAATTTTTGTTTGGTTATTTTTCTTTAGTTTTCTCTCTTTGTTTATCTGGTGCTCGTGACGGTTTCTTTGTCTTTGTGTATGCGTACTAGGAGTGGTCATATTCTTGAACCCATCGGCAAACCGAGTCACGAGAGCGTAAGAGAGCTGTTCGACAAGCTCAGTCTAGAACCGCCTGAACCAATAAAACCAGACATGGGCGACCAACAAGCTCCTCGTAACACCCTCTGAAACTTAGCCCAACCGGTTATCGGGACAGTCACTTCATGCATTCGTTTGCCGGATGCTGCACGGAACTATGAACTCAAAATGATTCCCTACAACCAGCTACCGACATTCCACGGGCTCCCAAGCGAGGACCCACTCAACTTCATCCGGGAATTTTACAATGTCCTCAACACTTTCCCTCTCAATGGGCTGAATGACGAGCAGTTGAAGATGCGGTGCTTTCCTGAGACACTGAAGAATCGGGCCAAGGCCTGGTTCATGACGCTTGCACCGGGGTCTCTCACTACTTGGACTGAGGTTTACTCAAAGTTCATTGGGAGGTACTACTCCCATCAAAAGACCCAGGAGCTTCGGTCACAGATCGTGTCATTTGGTCAGTTGCCTAATGAGCCTCTTCACGAAGCATGAGAGCGGTTCAAGGATCTCCAGCGGCAGTGCCCTCATCATAATCTCTCTACAGGGCTACTAATGAACTATTTCTACGACTCCCTCCATCAGAACTTGCAGTATATGGTGGACACTGCGGCAGGAGGGGATATTGGAGCAAGGACAGCTGAGGAGATGTTTGCCATATTTGAGACGATGAACACGAACTCGTCGCAGAAGAGCACCCGTGGGAAGAGAGCTATAGTGAACGAGGTCGGTACGAGCAATGACTTGGTGGCCCAACAGCTGGCCGAGCTTACTGAGCAGATGAGATTACTCAATGCCCGAGGACCTCAGCTGGTTAATACCTTTGCCGTTGACACATGTGGGGCATGTGAAGTCCCAGGGCAAAGGTCCGAAGTATGCCATTCATCATTCGAGCAGGACTCCGGTGAGAAGTATGCGGATGCCAGTGCTTTACAGGGATACCAAAATCGACCAGGAATGACCCATATTCAAACACGTACAATCCGGGATGGCGGAATCACCCTACTTTCTCATGGTCAAATAACTCGAACACCCTTCAGCCACCCCGTCCAAATTTCATGCAGCAACAACCTCGACCCAACTTTGTGCCCCGTCCGAACTACCAGCCACAGCAGCAGTAGCAGAGAGGACCGAAAGCAGGGTCAAGTTCAAACATTCAAGACGATGTTGCCAAAATCCTTCAGTTTATGGCTAACAGAGAGCAGCGAGATGTCAATTAGGATGTCTCCATCAAGCGCATTGAGACACGGTTAGGCCAACTGGCTGCTCGGGTCGGAACTATTGAGACTGAGATGAACAAGGGGAAGTTGCCCAGTCAGCCCGAGCAAGCTAAAGCCATCACGATACTCAGAAGCGGGAAGGAAATGGACAACAAGGTGAAGATGCCCGAGCCCGAAGATCAGGAGACTCATTCAGAAAAGATCAAGGAAGCAGAGCCTGGGAAGGTGACAGACGAGCCGGTTCTACATAAGTCGCCGAATCCATATAAGTTGTGCATTCCCTTTCCGGACCGACTTAGGAACGAGAAGCAAGAGAAGCAGTTCCGGGATCTTTTCAGCATGCTCTCCAAAGTGAATGTCAACTTGCCACTCCTCGATATGATTAAGAATATGCCATCATATGGTAAGTTCTTTAAGGACTTGGTGACCAAGAAGAGGAAGTTTGAAGATGAAGAGAAGGTGGTTGTGTACGAGGCGGCAAGTGCCATGCAGCACGACTTACCTAAGAAGGAACGTGACCCCGGTGGTTTCATTATCTAGATAGCCTTGGGAAACGGGAAGGTAGCTTCGGGGATGCTTGACCTCGGAGCCGGAATAAATCTCATGCCCTTCTCGATTTTTCAGAGGCTCGGCCTTGAGGATTTGAGGCCGACTCGCATGTGCCTCCAGTTGGCAGACCGTTCCATCAGGTACCCGAAGGGAATAGTCGAGGATGTGCTCGTGAAGGTGGGAAAGCTTATCATTCTAGTGGATTTCGTTGTTCTAGACGTTGGGGATGTGCACGAAATGGGAAGGATCACACAATCCTTCACGGGAGACCTTTCATGGCAACGACTAATACTCTCATCGATGTGAAGAACGGGACTTTGAATATGACGGTTTTGGGGGAGACGGTGTCTATTTCTGTCCGAGAGGCGATGTCCTCATCCTCAGTCAATTTTGTAGAAGAATGTGCTTTCATTGATCTTGCTGACCCTTTTATTGACGAGATGGTATTTCAGGAGTTCGAGGAAGTATCGTTGCCGGCTTTCGAGGAAGCAGAAGAGCCTACAGTGGAGCTTTTTG